AGTCTGATAAAGAGTACATTTATATGCATGTTTAAGCCAGAATGATTTTACATTTAAATATGACTTCCCGAAGACTTTAAGCTAGTTTAGCTCTTTTAACTTACTAAGATGAGCATAGACACACTGTGAACCTATTTTGAATTTTCAGCTATGATGTGTTTTTTATCTGTCTGATAATTTCCCAGTTATATTTGAGTTTATTGTTTTCCTTCTGGTTCCTGGCCCACAGGCTGCTGTTCGCTCTCCTCCTCTGATCAATACTAAGCTGTATTGCAATTTTAATTTCACAGACCCTATTTTTCCCTTTCAGGGGATTCTGTACTACGGAGGCCACTCCTGAATGATTTCAGCAATATTTGTAAGGATATTTTGTAAAGTGACTGCTCCTTTGAAACCTACACTCTAAAAAAAAAAAGAATACAACAGCTCTCCTAGAAAAGAACAGCAGCACAAACAGAAAATGGAAGTCTCTTTAGAGATTTTGAGAAGTTGTTGAACTGTCTGCCTTTTGCCATTTTTAAGTTTTAATTTTATTCTGATTTCTGTTTACAGTGAACTAAAAGACCCAAAATCAACTGCTATGACATATAAAGTTTAATGGGATTACTGAGGAACTTCAGTTTGATTTCACGTTGTGTCACAAGACAGAAAGTATCTTTTTAGAGTTTATAATAATCTGCTTTTAGCTGCAGAGTCTGTGACTTTGCTGTTAGAGTCTGACACATTCAAACTCAGAGCTGGCCTCAGATGGAAGGGGCATGTTGATGAAGTACACCTCCTCTGGGCTGGGTTTTATTGTCCCAGGTAATGGACAAGGCAGTGTGGTTTCCTTTGCAGGGTCTGGGGTAGTAGCCTGAGGGGTCTCCTTCATCGGCGAGTACTTTTTCACTGAGAGGTTCAGAGGACCTTTGAGTCTGGCTCTTCCTTCTCCTCCACCACGGTGTCCATGAGCGTCGGGCTTTGGCTTGAAGCGCTTGAGCCTAACGGCATCTTTGCCATTTTGGGTGCAGGGAAGCAGGATGGCTACATCTTTGCGGAATTTGGAACTGAGACCAAAGTAGATCAGAGGGTTGTAGAAGCTGGCAGACTTGGCGAAGAGCCGGGTGAAGATACTGGTCAGGTTAGGCACATGAAAACCACAGGCAGACCACATGGAGACCACTGCATATGGGGACCAGGCCAAGATGAAGGCTGTGCAAATCACAATGGAAACCTGAAGAAGGAACAAGAAAAAGTTCTACCAATCTTTGAAGACTCTGGGCCTGATGAGACAGATAAAAACTCACAATTGTTACGTCTCTCTCAATCTTCCTCTGACGGTCTGTCAGGTCTCCGTCAGCAGAGAGGGCATTGCCTCTCTTCACCGTGTTGATGATAGACACATAGCAAAAGAGCATGATGAGCACAGGCGTGAAGAAGCAGAAAATGAAGATGGAGATGATGTAGGACCTGTAGATGCTTGAATAGCTGGCTTTGGACCAGTCAATCTCACAGGTACCGTACCCCCGATCTGCAGAGCAGCAATCGCAAAGGTAAAAGGCAGGATCAGAGCTCACTGAGTTGTACTGTATTGGAACCAGGTTTCCTACCTGTGTAGCTACCCCAGCCAAGCACTGGAGCTCCAGACCAGAACCCAGCGGCGACCCAGAGGAGGAGCAGACAGATCGATACACTGGTCCGGGTAATATGATGTGCTGAAAAAAACAGATGAAGCTGTAGATTCAGGACTGATATTACCTGCAAGGCGTTGCTTGTAAATGAATGGAGATAAGTTTAGTGTGAATCATACCTCTGTGTGGGTGGCATCCTTTGATGTAGCGGGTGATGCTAATCACTGTCAGCGTAAAGATGCTGCTCAGACCAAACACTAATGTGAAGAAACCATCCACCTGAAGAGACAAACAGTACAGTACAGATTAGTCCCACTGATCTCATTTATTTAATGGATTTCTAAAAGGCCGGTGGTATTACACAGTGCTGTGATGTCACCAGCCGCCAAACTGGTACTCTCTAGTTAGACCGATGGGAAAGTAAACAATAGGTGCGCTACAGCATCGTACAACGATAATTTTCTCATTTTTAGCGGGGTTTAAGACTTTTAAAATAATGTCACACATTTACTGTTTCATAGAATCAGTAGATTACGGTAATTTATGGTAAAAATAGGCACATCACATTTCATATTCAGCATGAAGTCTATAAATCATGTAATATAACATATACAAATCCATCACAACAAAATTCATGTGTTAATGGAGCATAATAAGACTGTAGTCAGATATTAGGAATATTACACAGACACACTATCTGATGATGTGCCAAAAGTGCTAAATTGAGGATATATATGTAATATACATGTTTTGATTACATTGTTATGGTAATTACATTACAGGCATTTTTATGGCACGAATCTGTGAAAGTGGGGAGTACCAAGATGGCGGCCTATCAGCAATCCAGTAAATAAATAGAGATCAGTGGTGAGTCCCTCTTACTGAGTCTTTTTTTTTTTAACAATATATTTTTATTGAGATTTTTCATTTTGAAAATACAAACATGTCATTATCTGAACAAGTTCTGTTTGTAGTTATGACATGGCAGCAATTATTTTACTCAACTCAGAGAAAAAAAAAACACAAACACACACAGCTTCTCAAAAAACGGGGGTAAGTAAGAAAGTACTAATTGGTCAGATATGGATATACATATCTATACAACATGGCACACCACAGGTTCCAGTCAATTATAATTCAAACACACCTTCAGTCAAGTTTAAGTCCTTATAAAAATTAATGAAAGGCCCCCATATCCTCTCGAAAAGATACCGTTTGGATATGTTATTCTTTCTAGTGGCAAATTAGACATCTGTTTTAACCACTGAGTGGCGTTAGGTCTACTGATATTCTTACAAGCTAAAGCAATGCATTTTTTTGCAACTAACGAGCTTATATCTATAAAAGCACATTCTGATTTACTAAAGTTATGTTCCCTAGAGTATAAGGCTAACAGGAACAATTTAGGATCCAGTGAGACTTGTTTTAAAATAATTTTTTCAATTATATCTTTCACCTCTGTCCAAAATGCTTTAAGTTGTTTGCATTCCCACATGCAGTGTATTAGAGTCCCTTTAGAATTACATTTTACACAAATATCTGGGATGTTATTGTTGTATTTATTTAAATGTACAGGTGTAACATAGACACGCATTAGCCATTTAAATTGTAGAATCCTAAGATGGCTGTTTATGGACATTGTGTGAGTTTTAATGCAAACTTTTTCCCAATCCTGTTCACTAATGTTTGCTGATAGGTCCAAGTTCCAGTTCATAAGCTTATTATTTGAGTTCTCTAGTGAGTTAGAGATCAGCACATTGTAAAAGTCTGAGATGATGCCCTTCCTTGATTTATTCTGAGTCATTAACTTTTCAAGTAAGGTAAGAAGGGTACTTAGTCTTTTTTACTCCTGGACAGCGCATGTGAGTACTTTATATTTCAGCATAGTACACGTGAGTTCTTTCTTTGTCAACCCAATACAGACATGTTCTTTCTACATCAGAGCAGTATAGGTGAATTCCTACTATGGCAGCCCAGTACCGATGAGTTGTCTTTACTTTAGCCCAATACAGGCGAGTCCTTTCTACTTCATCAAAAGCACAGATGAATCATTTCAATGTCAGCCCCTTAAAGGTGAGTCTTTTCTAGCTCAGCACAGGTGAATGCTTTTCCACGTCACCCCAGTAGAAGGGAATCTTAGTATGCAGAGATCCAGGTAACCATGTTCTAATTACTTACTTACTGAGGTTTTAGGTCCATAAATACATGTTTAGTTTATGTATGATAGAACAACAAACCATAAGTTATCATCAAAGTGACTAATGTTTAGTATTACTATTTGTCGGAACACCAGTGACCTACTTAACAGCAAATAAACAGATGAGCCATCCCCACCACTGCATTGTATGGATAAAAACCTTTTTCTTTACTATGGTACAGGTAAGTCCTTTCAATTTAAGCCCAGCAAAAACTACCTGTGAGTACCTGGCAGGTCCAAATGGAGGATATGAAGTAGCTGCTGTCCTGGAAAACGTTGAAGATCTCTATGATGCCTCTAGAGTAGCCAAAAACAGAAATGCTGGCATCAGAAATGGCCAGGTTGAAGGTCAGGTAGTCAGTGGGCTGAAGCGAAGCTCGCTGTCTGTAGAGAACGAAGAGGACGATGCTGTTTCCAAACCAGGAAGTCCATCCTGCAGAGAGAGGACAGTGGTGGCTCACTTTTTGATATTCATTGCTCTGCTTCTGAATATGAAGCCAAGCTTACACACAGGGTCATCTGAGGAGGTCTAGAGGAAAAAAATAAAGTTTGACTGATGCTGCAGATTTCTCTTTACACTTGAAGGCAGACATGGGCAATGTGGAGTCAACAAGTCATCTCCATGTCATGTATTGTTTCTACCCAGCCACTGAAGCAGGTGAGTCCAGTCTTCACCGTGAATTAACCTGTGCAGATTGGACTCACCTGGTTAATTGGCTGGGTAGAACCAATACATGACATGGAGATGACTTGTTGACTCCACATTGCCCATGTCTGCTTGAAGGTTATCTTGTAATGAAAGGTTTGGCTTAATCTGTCCCAGAACAAAACAGACAAACTCACAGAGCAGTTTGGACTACCACCCTGTCCTAATCTATCCCCTACCGTCCTGTACCCACCAAGCAGCAGGAGGTAGATTCCAATGATAGTCTCTCCCTGGTCGGAGAGGGGGGGGTCTCTTCCCCCCTCCATGCCGAAGCTATGATTCTTCCAGGAGGGCCCATGTACCGCTGCGCTGGTCAGAGACATGCTGTTAGTCCTGTGGAGTCTGGAGGTTCACTGAGGAACGTTTGACGTCTCCACTGATAATCAGAGGTAAATATAGAGTCTGATCCTGGTTCACAGTCAGATCAGCAGCAGGAGAGCTGGCATGGAACCATCAACCAGCAGGGGCAGGTCATAGGTCAGGTTGCCGTGGAAACTGATCTCTGAGCGTCTAAATACTGGTTGTCTTGTTTACTTATTGACCGTTGGTGGCTTGGGAGTCTTTGTCCAACAGTGCTTCCTGCACTGTGTCCAGAGGACACACTGGGGCAGATCTGTCCCTCCTGCTGAGCTTGCCTAACTGTGTCCTCTCAGCTGCAGATAAGCTGCTTCTGGCCTCATGCGACTCAATTTGATGGTTTCCACAACAGTTGCTCCACTGATGGCCTTCATATGCATAGAGCTTGCTTGTTAAATCATAATCAGATTTTGGATTTCCTCAGAATGGATCCAACTTGATCACAAATAAATAATTTCACTGTCCAGTCCAGCCGGACATCACACTGATGCTGCTTTTATCAGATGATTGGCTCTTTGGTCAACAGATAAAAACTCAACAAAGACGTTTGATTCTGCAGCTGATCTGAAATCAGCTCACTTTCTAAATCCTAAGAACTGGATTCTAATCCAGCTTTCAACTGATGATCTTCAGCTGTCTGACCTCTGACCTTTAAGATTACTGAGCTGGAGGATGGTCAGGTAGAGCTGCTGCTCCTCTGTCAGTAGCTGAGTGGGGGCGCTCTCTGAGGGGGGCTCCAGACCCTTTAAAAGCAGGCAGTGGTCTGATTTAACCTGTACCGAGTCATTGGGTAGAGGTTTGAAGAGGACCCAAACGCAGAGACTGAACCTGAAGTGGTTTCTTAGGGATTTAATAACAAAAAGGGTAACAGGAGCAAAAATCCACAAACATAAATACACAAAATCCCCCCAAAAAATAACTGAGAACCAGGAATATTCACAACAAGGGGGCAAAGAAATGACAACACACCAGCCACAGTGATTGAGCAGGAGGTGCATATATGGGGGAGAGAAACAAAGATCAGGCTGATGATCAGCAGATTGGGAGCAGAGGAGTCTAGAAAGGAGCTAGAGAAAAGGAGACTGACACAGGAGGGCAACAGAGGGCAAACAAGAAATATCTAAGAACTCACATACAATCAAAAATAACTAGAATAACACAAAATGGAAATTAAACCAATAAAAACTCAAAGATAAAACTTAAACAAAACCAAAACCACGACAAATATAATACATATTTACATTTTTTTTAGATTGTATTTTCATAATAGTATTTTATTTTCATGTTTTATAAGTTCAGTTTATATTTTTACAAAGAAACTGGAAGTTGACTGAGTTTTTATCTTTAAATGCTTATAAGTTAAAGGTGAAAGAATTTGAAGCAGCTGTAATGATCTGTAATTGTTTTACTTGATATGTTTTTTATGCACTTGTCTTTTATTTTTATGTATCTCTTTTTATTATGCAACTTTGCTGCCTCCTGGCTAGGACTCCCTTGAAAAAAGGGGTTTTTAATCTCAATGGGATTTTTTTTTTCCCCTGGTTAAATAAAGGTTTAATAAAAATAAAATAACAAATCTTAAAAGTAGGCCTAGGTAATAAGGGAAATGTATTTTTATTATAATATAAGAATTGTTGGAATCTAATATAAACTACAAGGAATAATTTCACCAAAAATCTTAAAAATTCTGGGTAATTTAACCATAATTTAATTTCCTTGATTTTGAATGACGTGCATACTCCGGTCCGGTAGATGGCGGTAAGTGCAGTTTAAGTTGTTTTGCTAACTGGCTGTCAAATTCCAAAAGAAGAGGATAGAGGAGACGAGAAGAAGAAGAAGAGGAAGATTTTGGAGTCGGGGCTTTTGATCGTTGATTGATGCGGCCTCTCTATCGCACTACTAGCGGCGTTATGTGCGACGTGTGTCCAGTCTGGAAGCCCTGACCGCCGGGAAGCTAACCTCTCTCAGTCCGCTCTCGGTACTCTGACCCCAGGGAAGCTAACCCATCTCTGTCCGGTCTGAGAGCTTCGAGCCCCGGTGAAGCTAACCCAGTCTGTCCGGAATGTGAGTTTTAAAGCCCAGTAGGTCTCCTGACGTCTTTCCATTCGGAATGCTCTGTAATCCGGGGGAAATCTACTGATATCTGTCCGACCTTGGAGCTCCGGAGGCTACCTGGTCAGTACGCTGCTCCAGGGGTGTTGTGTCTCGGGGAGGAGGGCGGTCGATCGCCGTGATGGCGACCAGAACTGGGTCTGGGAGCGCAGGCAACGGGTTAGGCAGCCTTCCGATCAGCACCGCGGGACCCAAACCGGGCGCTGGGCACGGGACGGAGGCAGACCAGGAGTACAGCACCGAGGTGGTTTACAGCGGCTCGGATCAGGACTCTGACTCCGGCGACGATGAGGACGCCGGAGGGGACAGAAGGGGCGTGAAGCGGGAGAGAAGTGAGGACGGTCAGACCTCCGGGGGGCCGAACCGGGCCTGCAGCAGCGGAAACCTCGCGGTTTCTGGAGCAAAACCCGGGAAGAAGACCCGTGGCAGGGTCAAGATCAAGATGGAGTTCATAGACAACAAACTGAGGAGGTACACGACCTTCAGCAAGAGGAAGACTGGGATCATGAAGAAGGTGAGTGTGACAGGAAGACCTACTGCAGGAAACTGGACCCAGACCGTCCTGGATCAGTGAGCTTAGCTCCTGCATGCTGGTCTGAGACAAGCAGACAGGGAAGGTCCCAATAGGGACACCCTCTTTGTGGTTTCAGCTGTGAAGGGATCAGAAAATAGATCTGAGCAGCAGTGGCTCATAGTAGAAAGTTGTGAATAGAAGCAGCAGGTCTTTCCCATCTAAGTGGTTCTGTTCTGGTCCTGCAGGCGTACGAGCTTTCCACCCTGACAGGAACGCAGGTGCTGCTGCTGGTCGCCAGCGAGACGGGCCACGTTTACACATTTGCCACCCGGAAGCTGCAGCCCATGATCACGTCTGAGACGGGAAAGGCTCTGATCCAGACCTGCCTGAACTCTCCGGACTCCCCGCCCCGCTCAGACCCATCCACTGACCAAAGGATGAGCGCCACAGGCTTCGAGGAGACTGACCTCACCTACCAGGTGGTGGAGACGGACAGCAGCCCGGAAGGTCCAAAGGTACCAGTGGGGAGACGGGGGATCCCTGAGGGTTCTGTTCAGGGCGTATCGGGTCTTCTTCATGTCGTCTGCTCTTGTGTCTGCAGGATCTGGCCAAACCGACCTTCAGCCTTCCCGTCTCCATGCAGCCACAGCCAGCCTCCTCTTCATCAGCAACCCTGCAGATGCAGACCAGCACGTCCTCCTGGCAGCCGCCTGCCTCCTCCAGCAACGGGACGGTGCTGAAGACCTCAGCAGGTGTGGTGCTGCCTGGAGGGATCACCTTGATGTCAGGTGGGGTTCCCTGGTCCTCACATGGACGTAGGGTGGTTCAACTTCCTGCTCCACCTGTTGGGAAGAACCTGTCTGCACAGCACCGTTCTTGTTCTGCTCTCTGCTGTTCATATTCTCACTGATCTGTAGCTCCGCCCCCTCCTTTCACCTGTCCACAGGTGCCCAGCTGGCCCCTGGTGCCCACTCCATCCCCCTCAGTCAGCTGCAGGGCCAACCTGTGACCCTGCAGGGCCCCTCGCCGGCCCCCACGGCCACGCTTCAGGCTCCGACCACATTGCTCCGCCTCCCCGCCGCTTTGTCGCTGACAGGTCAGAACAAGCTCCGCCCCCTGCTCCATCTATATGGAGTGAATTTTGTTCCGTTATTAAAATTGAAGAACAGGTTTTATAAATTAAGATTAAAAAAAAAAAACGCAATTCATAAACTAAAGTTTTTGATCAAAAAAAGTGGTGTTGGTGTTTTCTTAGATTTTTATTTTTTTCATTATTATTTTACTTCACATTTTATATCTTAAATGTAATTTTTATAAACTTAAGCTTCTCAACAGTTTTTTTTTTTTGGCAGATTATGTATTTTTAGATAATTTCCACTACACGGGTTGCAGATGCAGAAATACATCTTTGCTTCTCACTCCAGAGGAAAGCCGCTCAGAAATAAAGAGAATTTGATCTGGAAAAGGCAAATTGAATAGAATCCTCTTTTTGTAATTGAATCTGAAGAAGAAAACATATTAATATATAACACCTGTAAAAAAATAAAATAAAAATAATAATGATAAAAAAAGTTGAAAACTAAAACTTTGTAATTTTCAAAAAATAAAATTTATTTTTCAATCTGAGAAGATGCAAAATAAGTCTTAAAAGTTTTATTATTAAGACATTTTTCTAAGTTTAATTACTGGATTGTATTTTTTTCCTTCAATTTTCATTTTTGTTAAAATTGAATAAAATTCACTTCATACCTTCAAAGCGTCTTAAAGTTCTAGATCTAAACGTAATATCAACCAAAACCTGTTCAGCTGCGATCAGGTGAAGCCATGATGACATTAAGAGGGAAATAAACACAGACCAAGTGTTTCTGAGTTTGGATCAGAACCACCAACATTATTCCTGCTTCGATTTGGAGAAAACGGAACCAGATTTTTTTTCCTCTGATTAAAATCTGTGGCCCGGTTCGGACCCAAGTCTTGGTTTCTTTCCCAGACAAACTTGGTTCTGTTTTGAACATTATCAGATTCAGGTTTTTAACAACAGTTTTGGTTCTTCATATCCTAACAGAGCAAACTCCATCAGTGTGGATCGACATTTTTCTGAGCTTTCTTTTTTCCTGTGTTTTAAAGCTGATTATTTTTTTTGTTGTATTTTTTCACGTGTTAAACAGATTGGATCATCAAGTTCCAACGAGTCCCAGTTCTGAAGAAATTGGGTTCAGTTTGTTTGTCAGTTGGTTAAATTCTGTCCGAGGAAACCTGCTTGATTTTAATCCAACAGTCACTTTACAGCCATCTCTCCTCCTGACCAGCAGGGGGCAACACTTAAAAAATAAATCTCTG